AGTGTTTAACAGCAGACGGCTGTCTAGACTAATGTTTAACGGCAGATGGCGCTCTAGGCGAATAAAAGATGGCACTGTAGGCTAGTGTTTAACAGTAAATGGTGCTCTTGGTTAGTGCTTAACAATAAGCGGTGGTCTAGGCTAGTGTTTAACATTAGATGGCACTCTTGGCTAGTGTTTAACTACAGACTGTGCTCTAGGCTAGGGTTTAACAGCAGATGGCACTCTAGGTGAACAGCAGATGTCGCTCTAGGCTAGTGTTTAACAGCAGATGGCCCTCTAGGCTAGTGTTTAACAGCAGACAGCACTCTAGGCTAGTATTTAACAGCAGACTGCGCTTTAGGCTAGAGTTTAACAGGAGATGGCACTCTAGGCTAGCATTGAACAGCAGATGGCGCTCTAGGCAAACAGAATATGGCGCTCTAGGCTAGTTTTTAACAGCAGATGGTGCTCTAGGCTAGTGTTTAACAGCAGATGGTGCTCTAGGCTAGTGTTTAACAGCAGATGGCGCTCTAGGCTAGTGTTTAACAGCAGATGGTGCTCTAGGCTAGTGTTTAACAGCAGATGGCGCTCTAGGCTAGTGTTTAACAGCAGATGGCGCTCTATGCTAGAGTTTAACTGCAGACGGCAATTTAGGCTAGTGTTTAACAGCAGACGGCGCTCTAGGCTAGTGTTTAAAAGCAGATGGCTCTCTAGGCTAGAGTTTAACAGCAGATGGAGCTGTAGGCTAGAGTTTACCAGCAGACGGCGCTCTAGGCTAGAGTTTAACAGCAGATGGAGCTCTGGGCTAGTGTTTAACAGCAGATGGAGCTCTAGGCTAGTGTTTAACAGCAGACGGAGCTCTAGGCTAGAGTTTAACAGCAGATGGAGCTCTAGGCTAGAGTTCAACAGCATATGGCGCTCTAGGCTAGAGTTTACCAGCAGATGGCGCTCTGGGCTAGTGTTTAACAGCAGATGGAGCTCTAGGCTAGTGTTTAACAGCAGACGGAGCTCTAGGCTAGAGTTTAACAGCAGATGGAGCTCTAGGCTAGAGTTTAACAGCATATGGCGCTCTAGGCTAGGATCATGTGCAAAAAAATCCCACCCACTGCTCAATATTCTGTTTCAGTTGGCAGAACATCAGCATACTAAAATAAAAGTCTCTGCAACATCCAGTTTTGTGCAGACTTTAAGAGCGAACAGCAACACATTTCCTAAATCACATAATTGATGCAGAATTTGTTCCTCGCCGCAGCTCTATGATTGATTGATTGATTGATTGTAAACTCGCAGAGATTTTGATTGGCTTGATTTCATCGTGTCTCACAGTGTCACATCAAACGAAGAAGACGAAGACGGAATTGCAGTAAAAGAGTTTCTGCAAACATGCTCACGGTCCTTTCCTCAGTGCAAAACTCTGTATTTGTATGTGGAAGACTGGCGCAGTGCATTCTGGGTAGTGTCTTTGATTCCAGCTCTCTTGTTTGTTTGGTATTTAAGGTGGCAGTGCCGATCGAAAGCTTGATATACCCTGAGGAGGAGGAAGAAGAGGACTGTAAACCGGGCTCAGCTGACCGAAAACATCCGAAAAGATCCTTCAAGAGGTACAACTCTTGTGTTTCTCCATGTCACGGCTTCCCATGAGCCTCTGTGGCTTCAGATAGACAGTTTCTGAGGAAACCTTCAGTGATCTGGAAACTTCCTGCTGCTTTTTAAAGCAGTCAGCGGTTTGTCAGTATCACACTGTGTGCGGTTTCTAGTTGGTGCTCAGTTCACCTTTAGTGCAGTTCATTTACATCCCTGCCCACAGTTTCATTTCCTGTGGTGTGACGTATTTCCTACTGAAACAGGAAGTTGTGTTGGAACACATCAAAGCCTATTGAAGGTCATGTGATCCATTGAAGTCAGTGTGTTTGTTTGTGTGTGCTTCTGGTTTCACCCCAAAGTCACAAGACCAGTGTGGAAATCTGATATATGGAAATATATGCAAATTGCATGTATGGTAATTAAGTTCATATCTGGATTTCACATGTATAAAATATGATGTATGTGCAGTCTATATATTTTGAAATATTACCGAAATGGCTGTTTAAATATTTACATATATTGTTTACCCATTGGAAATATGAGTATGTCCATATATGATCAAATGTATGTGTGTATTTTATGTATATATAACAGTTCTGTCTGGTTCTCAAATCTGATTGGCTGATCCGACCACATAGAGTGACAGCAGATCAATAAACTCACTACAGTTTGTCAAATATCATGTGTTTAGCGTTTTTCCTTATCACAAACACAACAGTAATCTGCTTGTGTTTGCTTTGCTTTGGCTTTTTCGTGGTAAATTACTGTGATCTCCCAATTGCAACAAAGAAATGCTGGGAAATCTCTGTAGACTGATGGCATTTCATGAAGTTCAGCCTTAAAATCTTAAAATGTGAGCAAAATCAGCTGTTTTGTCATCACTTTAGACATTACGCTAGAGAATCATTCATATACTAGCTCTAAAGTGACGTTT